CTTTTATTGATTTTTGTTTTTTTACAAAAAGGAAGGGAAAGGGATAGAGAGTTAGAAACATCGATGAGAGAGAAACATCCATCAGCTGCCTCTTGCACACCCCCCACTGGGAATGTGCCCGCAACCAAGGTCCATGCCCTTGATCGGAATCAAACCTGGGACCCTTCAGACTGCAGGCCGACGCTCTATCCACTGAACCACACCGGCCAGGGCTGGGCAGGCATTTTCAAAGCATCGGCAGGTTATTCCGATGCCCGGCCAGGGCTGAGACCCACTGGGGGGGGGGAGGGGGACTCCTCCAAAGCACTGTCTGTGGGTTCCTCCTTCTGCTCGGAAACAGCCCCCCAATACTAACAGGGGGCCTGAGACTATAAAACGGGCTCTTTTCTCATGTGTCAGCGAAACCGGCGTGTGCTAGGGATGGGAGGAGCTAACAAGCCTAACGGGACTGCCCCGCGGTGGACCTCGGGATAAATACACGAACACAGAGCCTGTGAGGACGCCCCGGAGTCACACGTGTGAGTTGTTATCTGAGTGATGGTGTCCCCTCAGAGCGGCGGCCGGGGGAACAGACGCCATAAAACCCGAGCTAACGACGCTGCCACAGGGAAACGGGAATTTGTTAGCGAGAAGCCGCCCTGGAGACGGAGGTAGAGTTATTTAAAATGCCTTGAATGGCCGAAACCGGTGTGGCTCAGTGGATAGAGCGTCGGTCTGCGGACTGAAAGGTGCCAGGTTCGATTCCGGTCAAGGGCATGGACCTTGGTTGCGGACACATCCCCAGTGGGGGGTGTGCAAGAGGCAGTTGATCGATGATTTTTTCTCATTGGTGTTTTTAACTCTCTATCCCTCTCTCTTCCTCTCTGTAAAAAACCAATTAAATATATTTTTAAAAAATAAAAAATAAATAAAATGCCTTGAATGGTAAAAATATATAATAATAATAATAATAATAATAATAATAATAATAAAATAGCCGAAACCGGTGTGGCTCAGTGGCTAGAGCGTCAGCCTGTGGACGGAAGGGTCCCGGGTTCGATTCCGGTCAAGGGCATGTACCTTGGCTGCGGGCACATCCCTGGTGGGGGGTGTGCAGGAGGCAGCTGGTCAATGTTTCTCTCTCATCGATGTTTCTAACTCTCTATCCCTTTCCCTTCCTTTCTGTAAAAAAATCAATAAAATATATTAGAAAAAATAAAATAGAAATAAAATACACACACACACACCTCCTTCCCCCCCACCCCCACATAACCATTTAAACATATATTTTTAGCTCTGGCTAATTTGGCTCAGTGTATATCCACTGTGTATATCCAGGGTCCCAGGTTCGATTCAGGTCAAGGGCATGGACCTTGGTTGCGGGCACATCCCCACTAGGAGGTGTGCAGGAGGCAGCTGATGGATGTGTCTCTCTCATCGATGGTTCTGACTCTCCATCCCTCTCCCTTCCTCTCTGTAAGAAAATCAATAAAATATATATATTTTTAAAAAAGAAATACATGAACAAGTACACTTGTTCTTGCGTGTACATGCGTACACGCATGTACACATACACATGCACACATGCACAAACACACGCGTGCATGCGCACACGCCAAGCCAGGGCAGGGTCTCCCCCATGGCCTGACAGATATGTGGTGCTGCCCGGTGCATGGTAGCAGCATTCCTGGACCCCCCTCCCACCGGCTGTCCTAACCCGGGGCAGCGCAGACCTTGCCCGATGTCCCCCAGGGGGCGCCATCGCCCCCCTGAGCGCTGGGCTCTAGGCAATGTCCTTTCTCTTCTTCAAGGTCAAGGGGAGTGAGCTCTAAGGCCCAACCCAAGAGGAGAAGGACTTGCGTCTGCTCTGAGCCCCACAAGGTCCATCCCCCCACTCCCACCTGGGCACCAGCATCGACACCTCACAGCCAGCTCGGCCGCGGAGGGCTGGCCTGTTCCCCTGTGACCCAGCCGCTCAGGGGAAAGTGTGCCCGGAAGCCGGGGGGACACACAGCTGGAGGCAGCGAACATCTCCCCGGCACACAGCAGCCACGGGCGTGTTTTTTAAAGGAAGAGGGATGGTGTCGACCGCTGAACCAGGAGGTCAGGGTTCGATTCCCGGTCGGGGCACATGCCCAGGTGGCGCGCTCCATCCCAGTGGGGGGCGTGCAGGAGGCGGCCGATCCATGACTCTCTCTCCTCATGGATGTTTCTATGTCTCTCTCCCTCTCCCTTCCTCTCTGACATCAATAAAAAACGTATTTTTTATTTATTTATTTTTATTTTATGTATTTTATGTATATATATATATTTAAAATATATTTTATTGATTTTTTTTTACAGAGAGGAAGGGAGAAGGATAAAGAGCTAGAAACGTCGATGAGAGAGAAACATCCATCAACTGCCTCCTGCACACCCCCCACTGGGGATGTGCTTACAACGAAGGTCCATGCCCTTGACCGGAATCGAACCCGGGACCTTTCAGTCTGCAGGCCGGCGCTCTATCCACTGAGCCACACCGGTCAGGGTTCTTAAGAAGGATGGTCCCGAATCTTAGAAAGAAACGGGTTACAACTTCTGTGCCACCATAATTGCATTTTGTGGGGAGAAAAATCAATGAAACACTATGTACTGACATGGCTACAGCCCGTGTATTATCAGACACAGAGATCTGAGAAGCACTTATTAAAAGAGAGAGAGAGAGAGAGCCTGCCCAGGAGGCCACGGGATCACAGAGAGAGGAAACCACAGAGGCGGGCCTGCTGCTGGGCCTTCAAGCACTTGCTGACTCTTTTTTTAAAAATATATATATATTTTATTCATTTTTTTTACAGAGAGGAAGAGAGAGGGATAGAGAGTTAGAAACATCGATGAGAGAGAATCATCGATCAGCTGCCTCTTGCACACCTGGCTTCCCCTCACAATTCCAGATCAATATTTCTTGTCTTGGGTGTCAGTTTGTGTGTCAGCTCTTTCTCCAAGTCATTGAACCTGAGAGCCATGCTGGCCGCGGCTTTTCACATTCTGCACAGGGACCTCGGCCCACGAGGGGACCCTGGCGGAGGCCCCCTGTTCTGGGAGGCCCTGCAGCCCCAGCACCTGCCTGCACGGGAGAGGCTGGGGAGGGGCGTGGGGCACCCCTTTGGCGGGAGCTAAAGGTGCCAGACCCGCAGCGGCTCAGAGCTCTGACTGGTTACCCAGTGTGGGTCTGCCGCCCGGTCAGCGCTGTGAGCATGGCACCTGACCTCACGGTGTAAGTCACCCCTCCAACGTGTCAGCAGCAAGGTCATGGGACCTCGCAGCTCACAGAACGGTCTCCCTCCCGCCTCCCACGGTGCACGCTGCGCTGGGAAGGTCCCACATGAGGTCAGAGGGCATTTTAAAAAATATATATTTTATTGATTTTTTTTACAGAGAGGAAGAGAAGGACAGAGAGTCAGAAACATCAATGAGAAACACCGATCAGCTGCCTCCCGCATACCCCCCACTGGGGATGTGCCCGCAACCAAGGTCCATGCCCTTGACCGGAATTGAACCCGGGACCTTTCAGTCCACAGGCCGGCGCTCTATCCACTGAGCCACATGGGTTTCGGCCAGAGGACATTTTTAAAGTGTTTTCTTTTTTTCTTTTCACTTTTGTAGCTTAAACATCAAATCATAAGCTATCATCCAAAGAATATAGATGAAAATATCGATATCCTGAATATATTCCATTAACTGATCCTAAACACATATACACTGAGCGGCCAGATAACTATGATCTCTGGACATAACAATAAGCTGACCACTCAGTGTATATATATTTGTATTAGAGGCCCGGTGTATGAATCCGTGCATGGGTGGGGTCCTGCCAGCCTGGCCAGGGGGAGGGGACATAGGCGATTGGCCGGCCTGCCTGCTGGTCAAAACTCATGGTCGCGGGGACCATTAGCACATTAGCCTTTTATTCTATAGGAAGGATCTACACGAAGTGGCCAGGTTATTATGCGATCAGAGAGCATCATCATCTGGCCACTGCGTGTGTGTATGTGTCTGAAACACCCTAGGGTAAATCCGGTCAGCCCCGGAAGTGTGAGCAGTGATATTCCTGAGGATCGCTGTGCCCGAAGCCAGTACCGGCACATCACTGGTCCTGGGGGGCGTGCACACACCTGCCAAGGCGGCGGGCACACGGCAGGACCCTGGACAGCGCCCGCTCCCCGGAGTCCACCCCCCTCCCTCCAGGAGGCTGAGCAAGCTCCTCACAAATATTTACTTACGCGGAACAGCAGAGAGTTCGACTAGTCATGTTTGAACCTGGAAATTAAGCTCAAAATCCTATGACAAGGGCCTCCATTTAATTTAATTTAATTTAATTTAATTTATTTATTAATATATTTTATTGATTTTTTTACAGAGAGGAAGAGAGAGGGATAGAGAGTTAGAAACATCGATGAGAGAGAATCATTGATCAGCTGCCTCCTGCACACCCCCCACCGGGGATGTGCCCGCAACCAAGGTCCATGCCCTTGACCGGAATCGAACCCGGGACCTTTCAGTCCGGAGGCCGATGCTCTATCCACTGAGCCAAACTGGTTTCGGCTCTATTATTATTATTATTTTATCATTCTGGCCTCACTATTCCTTTTTATTTATTTATTTTAAAGAAATCTTTATTGTTCCTATTATTACAAATGTTCCTCATTTTTAGCTCTATTCATTTTTTTAAAAAAATATTTGTTATTGATTTCAGAGAGGAAGGGAGAGGAAGCGAGAGAGAGAGAGAGAGAAAAAAAAAAATTTCAATGATGAGAGAGAATCATGGATCGGCTGCCTCCTGCACGCTCCACACTGGGGAGCGAGCCCGAAACCTGGGAATGGAACGTGGGGACCCTTCGGTCCGCAGGCCGACGCTCTACCCACTGAGCCACACCGGCCAGGGCAGCTCCATTCGTTTTTAAAGGTGGTTTGGGGATAGGTATCTTATAATGATGGCCGCAGTGCAGCCCGTGCTCCCGGTGGGGTGCGGGGCGGGGCGGGGCTCAGGGGGCGTCTTCGTAAAGAACCTCATCCACCTTCACGTCGTGCTCGTCCACGGGGACCCGGGCGCAGATCTGCTCCCTGAACGCCAGGGCCAGCGTGTAGGGCTTCGCCCGCTGGTGCTGCTCGCAGCGGCTCAGGTAGGCGTCGTAGTAGCCGCGGCCCCGGCCCAGCCGGTGGCCGTGCCTGTCGAACCCGAGGCCGGGCATGAAGATGAGGTCCAGGCCGCCTGTGGGGAGAGGAGCGCACGGATGGGGGTGAGCGGCTTCGGGGAGACGGACACCCCTGGGAGGCCTGCGTTTGGTTTTTATTTTTTTATTTTTTTTTTAATTTATTTTTTTAAAAAAATATATTTTATTGATTTTTGTACAGAGAGGAAGGGAGAGAGATAGAGAGTTAGAAACATCGATGAGAGAGAGTCATCGATCAGCTGCCTCTTGCACACCCCCTACTGGGGATATGCCCGCAACCAAGGTACATGCCCTTGACCGGAATCGAACCCGGGACCCTTCAGTCCCCAAGCTGACGCTCTAGCCATTGAGCCAAACCGGTCTCGGCTGGTTTTTATTTTTATTTCATTTTTATTTATTTATTTTTATATATTTTATTGATTTTTTTGCAGAGAGGAAGGGAGAGGGGGAGAGAGCTAGAAACATCGATGAGAGAGAAACATCCATCAGCTGCCTTCTGCACACCCCCTACCGGGGATGTGCCCGAACCAAGGTCCGTGCCCTTGACTGGAATCGAACCCGGGACCCTTTCAATCCGCAGGCCGACGCTCTATCCACTGAGCCACACCGGCTGCGTTTTGTTTTTAGCGACAACTTCCTCTGATGTCTAAGGAAACACGTGATCACTCTAAGACCCACAAGGCCCGGGTCGGACAAAGGAGGAGAGAGACACGACCGGCTCCTCAGCAGGCCCATCCCCGCCCGCCAGGTCATCACATCAACATCAGACCCAGCTCGGCCACAACTGAGCTCGGTGATGCCAAGGACAAGGCCGACGATCTTTTTAAAATTATTTTAAAAATATATTTCATTGATTTTTTACAGAGAGGGAGGAGAGGGAGAGAGAGTTAGAAACATCGATGAGAGAGAAACATCCATCAGCTGCCACCTGCACACCCCCGACTGGGGATGTGCCCGCAACCAAGCACATGCCATTGGCCGGAATCGAACCTTCTGTCCGCAGACTGACGCTCTATCCACTGAGCCACACTGGTCAGGGTTGGGCCTAGGCTCTTGTTTCTTCTTCCTTTCTCTGTTTAAACCTCAGGTGATCCCACACACCGGCCTGGCAGGGGAGTCTGTATCCCAGGATGCGACCTCTGGAGGGGTGGGAGGAGGGCATAAGGAAGCTGGACCAGCCCTGACTGGTGTGGCACAATGGATAGAGCGTCGGTCTGCAGACTGAAGAGTCCCAGGTTCGATTCCGGTCAAGGGTATGAACCTTGGTTGCGGGCACATCCCCAGTGGGGGGTGTGCAGGAGGCGGCTGATCAATGCTTCTCTCTCATCGATGTTTCTCTCTCTTTCTCTCCCTCTCTGTAAACAATCAATAAAATATATATATATATATATATATATATATATATATATATATATATATATAGAAAAGAAAGCCGGAACCACGCGGGGGCAGGCTCTGACCTCCTCGGAGCCATTCCAGAAGGACACGATCGAGACCGTAGACCCGGCCCGAGGCTGGCTCCCTCTGGGCACACAGGGACCGGAAGTGGCCATAGCATCAGCCGGACAGAGCAGCCAGGGGCCGTGCAGAAGGATGGAGGTCACGGGGGAGAACCACGGGTCTGGGAGGCCCAGGAAGGGGCCCTGCAGCCGCGGCCAGGGAGCGGATGGAGATCAAGAGCCACATCACACGTCCAACTTGGTGTCCTCACACTCCAGGGACACTCCGTCCTTACGGCCCAGCCTCCTGTCCGTGGCCTGGACCCCTGCAGGCTGCCTCGGGGCTCCTGGCTGACCTCCAGGCATGTGGACGGGCCACTCCTCAGTCCTGCTGGCCGGGACACGCAGGGGGGAGCTGAGAACTCTCTGGAACGGGTTGTTCTCTCAGCAGCTGTGCCGATGACCAGGAGAACAGAGAGGTGAGCTCCCAGCACGCACCTGCCATCCTGCTTGCCAGAGCCCATCATGTGACTGTCATGACCTTGCTGGGCACACTTGCTGTCTAGGCCCATCCTGGCCCCAGCCGGCTCATCTTTCTCCCTGGGGGTGGCCAGCGGCTTGCACACTCAGACCCCCGCCCCCTCCACGTGCTCCCCACCGGGCAGCTCTGCCCCCGACCGTGTGAAGTCCTGGGAGGGAGGTGGTGAAGGTCAGTTAGCCTAAAGCGGGCCCGTGTCATCTCCACCCCAAAGCCAGGCACAGTCTCTGCCTCTTCCTCAAAAGCGAGTCAGGAAGTACAGAGAGGCCCTGGCCGGTGTGGCTCAGTGGATAGAGTGTCGGCCTACAGACTCAAGAGTCACAGGTTCGATTCCGGTCAAGGGCATGGTCCTAGGTTGCGGGCACATCCCCAGTGGGGGGTGTGTGTGTGTGTGTGTGTGTGCAGGAGGCAGCTGATGGATGTTTCTCTCTCATCGATGTTTCTAACTCTCTATCCCTCTCTCTTCCTCTCTGTAAAAAAATCAGTAACGTATATTTAAAACACGGAGAAGCGGAAATCCTCAAAGAAAACGCAGAGCCAGGAATCCGTGGCAGCTCCGGGGCAGAACCCTCAGAAACCCACTGTGTGCTTGAAGCTCACGGCTGCCCCGGAAGAACAGACTGGAACACTCATAGTGCTCTTAGGATTCCACTAAACCCGTGGTCGGCAAACCGCGGCTCGCGAGCCACAGGCGGCTCTTTGGCCCCTTGAAGGCGGCTCTTCCACAAAAGACCACGGCCTGGGCGAGTCTGTGTTGAAGAAGTGGCATTAGAAGAAGTTTACGTTTAAAAAATGTGGCTCTCCGCCGAAACCGGTTTGGCTCAATGGATAGAGCGTCGGTTTGGGGACTGAAAGGTCCCGGGTTCGATTCCGGTCAAGGGCATGTACCTTGGTTGCGGGCACATCCCCAGTAGGGGGTGTGCAAGAGGCAGCTGATCGATGACTCTCTCTCATCGATGTTTCTGACTCTATCTCTCTACCTCCTCTCTGTACAAAATCAATAAAATATATATTTAAAAATTTTTTTAAAAAAAAAATGTGGCTCTCCAGAGAAATGTCAGTTGTTGTTGTGCTGTTGATGTTCGGCTCTGTGCACTCATGAGTTTGCCGACCACTGGACTAGACTGCCTAATGAGACAGCTAACTTTTTAAAACCTTACATTGTGCCGAAACTGGTGTGGCTCAGTGGATAGAGCGTTGGTCTGTGGACTGAAAGGTCCCCGGTTCGATTCCGGTCAAGGGCATGTGCCTTGGTTGCGGGCACATCCCCGGTGGGGGGCGTGCAGGAGGCAGCTGGTCGATGATTCTCTCATTGACGTTTCTAGCTCTCTATCCCTCTCCCTTCCTCTCTGTGAAAAGTCAATAAAATATATTAAAAAAAAAACAAACCAAAACCTTATATTGTGAAGGCTCTTCCGCTCTTTCTGGTACGTTGGGTCTCAGTGCATTTTGGCCTTTGGGGAATCTCCACGCAGAATCAGACACACGGCAATCTCCACTAAAGACCTGCTACCGCCGAAACCGGTGTGGCTCAGTGGTGGAGAGTCGGTCTGCGGACTGAAGGGTCCTGGGTTCGATTCCGGTCAAGGGCATGTACCTTGGGTGTGGGCACATCCCCAGTGGGGGGCGTACAAAAGGCAGCCGATCGATGATTCTCTCTCATCGATGTTTCTAACTCCCTATCCCTCTCCCTTCCTCTTTTTAAAAAATCAACAAAATACATAAAAAATAAAAATAGAAATAAAAAAGACCTGCTACCGAGGGACTGCTCGCCTCTGCATCATTATAAAGCCCTTTCTTTCGACAGGTGTCTGGGTTCCCGCCAAACACAGGGACTGCCTCTGCCCCCGGAGCCCCGGGCAGCACCCGCACCGGCAGCGCTCCGGCTGGCCGGCGGGCAGGTGAGACAGTCCCTGCAAACCTCCTCCCGTGAGAACCTCGGCGCTCCGGAGCCGGGGCTCTGCTCAGCCCGTGTCCCCAGCTGCGTTTTTCAGCCCGGGAAGGAGGGGGCAGGCAGGCAGCTCCTGCGGGAGAGGGGGGGGAGAGGGGAAGGTGTACTGGCCCGCACCGCTGGCAGGCGGGCGTGGCTCTCTGCTGCCGCCTGCTGGCAGCGGGTCGCGTGCTGGCCGGAGGTGCCAGGAGGCCCAGGACCCTGCACGACCTCCCGGCCACGCATGGCCTCCCTCCCCGCCACGCATGGCCTCCCTCCCCGCCACGCATGGCCTCCCTCCCCGCCACGCATGGCCTCCCTCCCCGTCACGCATGGCCCCCCTCCCCGTCACGCATGGCCCCCCTCCCCGCCACGCATGGCCTCCCTCCCCGCCACGCATGGCCTCCCTCCCCGCCACGCATGGCCCCCCTCCCCGTCACGCATGGCCCCCCTCCCCGCCACGCATGGCCCCCCTCCCCGTCACGCATGGCCCCCCTCCCCGCCACGCATGGCCCCCCTCCCCGTCACGCATGGCCCCCCTCCCCGTCACGCATGGCCTCCCTCCCCGCCACGCATGGCCTCCTCTCCCGGCCACGCATGGCCTCCCTCCCCGCCACGCATGGCCCCCCTCCCCGCCACGCATGGCCCCCCTCCCCGCCACGCATGGCCCCCCTCCCCGTCACGCATGGCCCCCCTCCCCGTCACGCATGGCCCCCCTACCCGCCACGCATGGCCTCCCGTGCACAAAGGCCCCCGGAGGAGACCCCGCTTCCCACAAGGAAGGGGAGCGGCTCCTCAGAGCCCCTTTCGGCCCCGGAGCGGCACTTGGCAGCCAGGGCGACCCGGGCAGGTGCCAGCCTCCCTCTCCTCCCGACAGGCGGCCGCTCTGAGGAGCTGGCACCCCCCCCCCCCCCCGTCCCCCAACCCCCCCCCCCCCTACGACATGGCCCGTCACCGTCAGAGCCGCACGCGGCCTCCGGCCTCCAGCGCTGCGTGTCCGGCCTAGAGAGGGAGAGCGGAGTGTGTGTGTATGTGTGTGTGTGTGTGTGTGTGTGTGGCTGTATGTGGAGGGTGTGTGTGTGGGAAGGTGTGTATATGTGGCTGTGTGTGCGGGTGTGTGTGTGTGTATGT